TATGCCGCGCTGCGCGGCCCACGGACCAAGAACGTTGTTTTCCATGCCTCGGGCCACGACGTGCACGTTCAGCACCGGAGTGACGTGGCAGCGTCGCTGCTCGCGCATTTTGCTTCGTTGGAATGAGTGCAACATGTTGAAATGGTCGGTTTTCAATTCAGACAACTTGATTTGTGTGGTGATTGATTACGCAAGCGTGGTGTCGGGCTCCATGACATTAGCGCGTGGCGTCAACGTACCGGGCGACGGCGCGGCACTGGGCTTGCGTCCACTACAGTATCGCTGATGTCCCTTGGTCTCGGTCCACACGAAACGCGCATCTTGACGCAGCGCCGCCACGACAGCATCGACGAGCTCACTCACGTCGGTCCCCGGCGGCAAGAGCGGCTGGAGCTGTCCGCGGATGTACGAGACGTGAAAGTCGTTGCCGCCTTCGACCCACTGCAACACCGCGTCGAGAAAAAGCGACATGTAGGCCTCGACGAGGGCCGGTAGGTCGGACGGAGCCACGGCGGTCGGGCGGTCGGTCGTGTCGACCTCTGGCTCCTTCTGAGGCGGTGCATTTGACGGCTTTTGCCTTCTTCTTCTTCTTCGTCGTCGTCGTCGTTGCCGTTGTCGTTGCCGTTGCCGTTGTCGTTGTCGTTGGCATCGTGACGGGTGCTGGAGCGGAAGGCGTTTGCAAGAAATGGAGGTCCTCAAAGCTCGATGCAGGCCGCTCGAGGCTGGATGGCAAGATCGCAACCACCTCCATCTTGGGATTGGAGCGGTCAATGTGAAAGCAGCCCGTGCGCTCGAGACCGCGCAGCACGAGGGCGACGGCCTTGGCAACGTCGTGCTTCTCCACGTTTTCGTGTCGCAGCTCTTGCTGGAGCGTCGTGAGAGGAAGCGGAGAGGCCGCGGTGCGACTGGCGTAGCGCGTCACCAGTTTCGAGATGACGTCCGGCTTGCGTGCCTTGGGGACCGTGTACTTGGTCTGTGCGACGGCGCCGGGCGCGAGCTGCAGTTTGTCGTCGGCGGTCACGACAACGTTGCCGCACTGGACAACGGTCGCTTCGATGGAAGCGACGGCGGCGGCAAACTGCGCGGTCGGGACAAACGCTGCAAGCCGCAGACGCTTCTCGATGAGCGCTCGCCAGCCAACGCACACGCCGGTCTTCTTGAGCTCCAGCTGAATCAAAAACAAAACGCGCACCGCAAGGTTCTGCACGAGGGCGTCCAAGAGGGTTGCACGGGTCGCCTTGGCCTCGACCTTGGTCGGCTTGGTCGGTTCGGTCTTCTTGGCTTTCTTGGCTTTCTTTGGCGTTTCTGACTCTGTGGTCGGCGACGCATGGGCATACGACCGCAGAAAGCTCACGTCGGCAAAGTCCGTGACGGGCCGCAGCAGCGCGGCTTCGTCGTACAGGATCGCATCGGCGCCCTTGGCATCCTTGCCTTGGCAAAAGCACCCAAACGTGACCAGCGCATCGACGAGCTCCTGCACATTCGTCGCTGCCGTCTCCACGTGGCGCTGGATCGTCGACATGCGTAAAGGATGCGACGCCACTTGGCGTGCGAGGTGGTGGAGCACCGGCAGCGCTTCTTCTGGCGCCGCAGCGTCTGTGCCGGACGATACGAGCTGGCCTTTGGCGGCGAGCGTGATGCGCGGGTCCTGCACCAGAAGGTTGACGACCGTGGCGACGGCAGCGTCGCGCTGCGCCGGCGGGATCGTCTGGGACTTTTTGACGAGCTTCTTGCGCAGCTTGGCGACAGCGTACGGCTCTGGCGCCTGCGCGTGGACGAGCGTCGCCAGCCGAGCTGCGTGGTCTTCGAGGAGCGCGTCGAGGAGGCGGCGTGGGGCCATCGCGCACCGTTGAACTCTTGCGACTGGACAACCTCGAGGTGGCAATTCGCCATGAATAGTGTACACTCACGGAAATGGTGTTCAACGGCAACATCGATTCATTGACAAGCCACTTACAAGCGAATCCAAACCCGTATCGAGGTCTTTCCGAGAGACTATGCGACATGGACGATATTGTCTACTGGCGTCACTAGACAAGACTACGCCCACAACGACTCTAGCTGCAACATCAAATGGACTTTGTTCAAAATGTTTGATCTCTGCGTTTAGATCGACTCGACACCGTATCCAAAACCCACGCCGCCGTACGGAGGCCGCGTCCGCACTTGCGCTTCGTACGCCTCGCCGGCCAAGATGGCATCGACCGCCGACGCGGCGTCCGTCACGATGCGCCACGCGTTGTACTGCCCGCGACGCAGCTCCACAATCACGTCAAAGATCGGCTCGCCACCGCGCTGCGCCAACAGCTTTCGCAGCGGCCCATTGTCGTCCTTCTTTTGCTTTTCCTTGGCCAATGCGTCGCCGACCGTCACCGACTCGACGCCGCCCACGAGACCTCGCAGCGGCTTGTTCTTGAGCAGCTTGCGCAGGTCGCCGTGCGCCGAAGCCACGATGCGCACACCACGCTGCTTGCACGTGCGCGCGGCCTCGACTTCGTTCGGACGGCCAATCTCGTCGATGACCATGACCTCGGGCGTGTGGTTCTGGACGCACTCGACCATGACTGCGGCTTGGTCGTTGAGCGACGGCACCATCATGCGCCGCGCCAAGCCCACGCACGGATGCGGAATGTCGCCGTCGCCTAGAGATCAGAGCGAGGTTAGGGTTCTTCTTTTCTACTAGTTGGAGAAAAAGTACCTGCAATCTCGTTGCTCGTGTCGACGATGCAGACGTTGTACTTGGTCGCGAGCTGCCGAGAGACTTCGCGGACGATGGTGGTTTTGCCGCAGCCAGGTTCGCCGAGGAAGAGAATGTTCTTGTCTTCCGTCGCCAGAAGATCCGCGATCAAGCCCGCGTTGCCCTCAATGTACCGGCCGACGCGGATCGTGAGTGCGATGATATTGTCTTGGCGGTTGCGAATGGCCGAGATGCGGTGCAGTTGGCGCTCGAGGCCGGCGCGGTTGTCGCTGCCAAAGCCGCCAATGCGGTCAACAATCGAATCCAGGTCGTCTCTCGTGACGACGCGATCCTGATTGGCTGTGTCGAGGAAGAAACGCGCGCCATTGACCCATGCCCACGGTCGGCGTCCGAGGTCCAAGACGATGTCGAGCAGCTTGGCGCTGACGTCGGGTTGGAGCAGAGGTGCCGCGAGGTCGGGTGGCAGCAACCCCAAAATGTCGTCCAAGTCTTCGTGGATGACCACCGGCGGACTCGAGATAACGTCGTGGGGCCGCCACGCCTGGAGGTACTCGGTCGAGACAAGGCGCTGATTGTGTTGCGCATCAAAGCAGAGCGATCGCTGGCCATCGGAAGCAATCGCGTGATGCAGTCGCTGGTTGGAGGCTGACATGAGCGGCGAAATGTTGTCGAAAATGGCCTTGGCGAGGACATCCGAGGCTTGAAGAAGCAGTTGGACTGTCGCCGCCGCGGCTTGCGTGGCTTCCGGAAGCAGTGGGCGGTGGTTCAAAAAGTCGGGTCGGTCGAGGTACCGCGGGTGCGGGTGCGCCGGTAGCCCGACGATTGAGAGCATCTCGGCAAACGAGACGTTGAAGCGCGACGTCTGGTGCTCAAAGAGGAGCTCGAGGTCGATGAGTGACGCGATCGGACTATTGGCAAGACGCACGAAAGCGCCGGCCTGCGTGTGCGAGCCGTAGATGACCTTGCAGACACTTGGTGAGAGAAGCATTGGCTGCAGCAGCGTCGCAACGACATCGACCCGGGTGCTTTCGCAGTCGACGATGAGCGCTTCCGTTCCCCAGGCCATGGCCAACAAGAGTGCAGAGCCGTTGCCGTGGACGGCAAGCGCGATGCGACCAGGCAGCCACGGCTCGCGCAAGATCGCGTGCGCGGCTACGACATCGCGCAGTTGCACCGCCGTCTTGACCACTGCAACGTGTCCATGCAACTCAACTTTGGCGGGCAGAGCCGGTCGCGGCGCGTCGTCGACGTTCGTCGGCACCGGCGGCGTAAAACCGACCGGCTCCAGCGGAATTACCGTCACCCGGGCTTGCGGCTCCGGTTTGCGCGGCGGCGACGCTGGCTTGCAAAGATGCGCGCGTGACGTTTCAAAGTACGGTTGACGCTCGTCTGTCGCGCGCAGCTCAAAGCGTGGGTCCTTGGCGACCTCGGCCACCACGAGGCGCGCGAGCTCGCTGCTGTTGTAGTCGCCAACGCCGGGCACAAACCCCACGTCAAAACGCATCGCCGTACGCAGCGCGTGCTCCATGCGTTGGCTCAGCGCCGCCACGTGTTTCTGAACCGTCTCGGGATCGATCGTCGCCGGCGGTGGCGTCGCTGCGACAAAGCACGGACGCCGGTCGTCGTCGTCGCAGTAGCGCAGTTGCGGATGGAGCCGCGGCGACGCAAGGATCGCATTGATGGCCATCGTGGCCGCGCTGTCGTTGTTGACGAGTGCACGCACTTGGCTGGAGAGGGACGACACGTAAAAGACGCTGCCCGACGCCACCGACGCGAGGATCGACGCCAAGAAGGTCTCGTGGTGCAGCGACACGATCGCATCGTCGCTTGCCGACTCGCTCTTTGGAGATACCAGCGCCTCGATCGCGCGGATGTTCCACATGCTGGCGTCGTCGACCGTCGCCGAGCTCTCCGTGATCGACGTCACCGAAACTCTGTCGGCAGCGTTGACGACATCGTCCACTTCGTTCTCTTCGTCCTCGTCCGCGTCATCTTCGTCATCGCCATCGCTGTCATCGTCGTCCTCGTCGTCCTCGTCGTCATCGTCGTCGTCGTCGTCATTGTCATCGTCGTCATCGTCGTTTCGACTGAAAAACACCAGACGCCCAGTGTCGCTCTTGAGCGTAAAGCGAACGTTGGGCTCTTGCTGGAGCGCGCCAAGGACATGTTGCACGACGATGTCGAGCGATAGCGTCGCCGGCGGACGCAAGAGTCCGCGCACGTCCGACTCGTGGAACGGACGTCCTTTCTCGATCGTCGCGAGCATCGACCGCTTGATGTGCGGCAGAACCTGCGCCAGCACCCGCGTCAAGAGCGGCGCGTTCGTGTCTACGTTGCTGCGCGGCCCAAAGCAAAAGCCGGCGACGTAGCTCGGGCGGCTCTGCAATCGCGGGTCGCACTTCAACGCCGGAAGGATTTGCGTCTTGATAACGCCAGGCAAGACGGGGTACTCGAGCTTGAGGTCGTAGATGACGGCTTCGCCACACGCTTCGTCGTGCGTCTCTAGCCACGCCAACGAGGCCGCCACGTACGCCTCGAGTGCTGTCGCATCGGTCGTTGGACCGTCGACAGCCCATCGATCGATCACGACCGTCGACGTCGGCTCGGTACGCCGGTCGATGCTCGGAGCAGCGTCGGTAGGACGGTCGCCGTTTGGTGGTGGCGGTGGAGAGAACCAGCGCGCAAGCAAGTGCGCCAGCAGTGCGTGCTTGACCAGCATACTCGCTTTGCGCGGGAGGGCCCACGGCGCAATCGTGACGAGCGCCTTCTCGCCCGTCTTGAGCACTTGGAAGCAGTCCGTCTCAAAGAGCGCTTGCTGCACGAGCTTCATGGTCTTGCTCGTCGAGTAGCCAAAGCGCGGCTTCTCCTTGACGATGCGCGCCATGGCCACGTAGTCCAGCGGCGCCTTGACGATGAGCTCGATAAACTCAATCACCGTCGCTTGCACCATGCTCGGACCGTCGAAAGGCGTCGACCGAGGCGTGGTCCAATGACGGCGCTCGCCCATCGGCACCACGACCATGTCGTCGCCGTCGCCCTCCATGCCAAGGCTCGCGTCCGACGCAAACTGCGCGAGGACCACCGAGATCGCCCGCGGAAGCAGGTCCGATGTAATGTACCCCGTGCGTTCGAGGTGCCGGTGTACGCGGGATATCGCCAGCGGTTCACCGAGCGCGTGCAGTGCATCGCCGAGCGTGATCGCGTGCCACTCGAGTAACAAATCCAAGAGCGACCTCGACGCGAGTGCGGGCGGCAGAGACACGTCCACCATTGGCTTGGCCGGTGACACGACCATGCCCGGTGGTGGCTTCGTCGCAGGCGACTTGGCGTCACTTGGTGACGCAAAGCGCGGCTCGCGCCGCAGAAACACAAGCGTGCCAAACTCACTCGCTGGGCGCAGCAAGCACGCATTGTCAATGGCCGTGACGACATCGGGGCCGACGACCGCCGACACAAAGCACCCGACCGACTGGAGCCGCGCCTGGACACCGACGAGCACGTCCGAGACGTTCGTGACGCCCCATTGCGTCAGCTGCGTCGCCATCGACACCAAGCGCATCGGCGCATACGCAATCCGCCGCGCAAACCGGCGAGCGACGACGTCCATGACCGCGTTGAGCTCACTCGGTAGCGAGGCGTCCGTGTCGCCCACGACCCGCGACGGCGCGACACCGAGTGCCAAGCACGGTCCGTCTCCTGACTCGAGCACGCGCAGGCTCGGGTCCAGCCGGAGCACCATGCTGACGACGGTCTCGAGCGCGTCCTGCGCCGACGCCGGTGGAATGTACGACGTGCGCGCCAAGCGACTAGCAACGTGCTGGAGCAAGTACGCATGGCCGGACGCCGCGTGGACGAGCTCGACCACGCGCACGCTGTGCTCGATAAGAAGCGCGTCGTAGAGCGTCCGGGGACGCGTGTCGACCGTGAGCGAACTTGTCGGGCGCGGCGGCGACGGCGACGACGGCGACGATAACGACGGCGTGATGACCCACTGCGACGCGACGACCGGCGGCACAACGAGCGGCGTCGGCAGCTTGACGTGGCTGTCGCTTGCGACAAAGCCCGAGTGGCCAAGACTGTCGCCGGCCCGCCACGTGACGTCCGGGTGGCGAGCGAGCGCGTCGAGAACGCAGTTGACCGCCGAGTCCTTGTTCAGATGCGACGGCACGCGGAGCGACCCGATGACGTCGGCGGCGCCGTAGACGTCGCCTTTCCGCGTCATTGCAAGCATGCGCGTCCGGAAATGCGGCACGACTTGGTCCATGACGTCATCGAGCGTCGCCGGCGCGTCGTCCGAGATCGCGTCGGATTGCGGCCCAAAGCAGTAGAGCGTGAGGTAGCTCGGACGGTAGCGCAGGCGCGGGTCGGTCACGAGCGCAGGAACCACGACCGACTTCATGATGCTCAATGGCACTGGAAACGTCAGACCGACCTTCCACGAGTACACGTGAGCAGACGGACAGGCCTCGGCATGCGCATCGAGCCACTGCTGCGCGGCAAAGATGTAGGCTTCAATGGCCGCGTGCACTTGGTCGGGCGTCAGCACCGATGACGACGACGTACTCTTTGGCGTCGTGGATACGGATATCGGGACAGCCACGGACGGCGGTCGTGACGCGACCTTGGCAACGCCATTCGTGACCGTTGGCCACGTGGCACACGTCCGCCGAAGAAAGCTGAGGTCGCCAAACGCGTGGATCGGGCGGTAGAGGCAGTCCTGGTCCAGCGTCACGATCGCAGTCGCGTCGTTGTCACCGACAAAGAGAAAACAACCGATGGCTTGCAGACGCTGCACGACGCGGCGGCGCATACCCGTATCGGGTAGCTTGTGCACGAGCAGCTGCTGCTCGACGAGGCCGACGGACCGGCGCGAGTAGATGGCCTTTCTCGCGAGCCGGTGGGCGAGCACGGCGACCAAGGCGTCGCGCTCGGTCGGGAGCTCGTCGTCGTCGTCGTCCTTGTGCTCGCCTTCCGTCTTGTCGGTCGAGATGAGCATGTCGTTGTTGATCAAGCGGATGCTCGTGTCGTGGCGAAGCACCGTATCGATGATGATGTCGATGGCGGGTGCAATGGCGTCGGTCGAGAGATACCCCGTCTTGTGCAAGCGGTTGCGCAGGTTCGAGAGCGGGTACTTGGCCGAGTTCCGCACGAGAAGGCTCACGCTCACGCTGTGCTCGAGAAGGATCGCGTCGTAGAGCGTCTTGACCGAGTCGGCCGTGACGATCGGACGGTCCATCGACGTATGGGGCCCCTCAAAGCGCCAGTTGCCCTCCGACGTCTCGGTGGCCACCACGTTCGGCTCGCGCTTGAGCGCATGGATCACGCGGCTGCAGACCTTGGTCGCATCCAAATGGCTCGGGATCGCCAAGGTCGCCTGGACGTCGGACGAGTAGTAGACGCCGCCCCGCGCCGTGACCGCGAGCATGCGCTCGACGTACGCGAGGCTCTTGTCCTTGACGAAGGCCGAGATGGAGACGCTGCCAGCGGTCGACCCATGGCCCGGCGCGCCCGGTCGGAAGCTTGCCATGCTGCTCCCCACGTCTAGAAAGCCAAAATAAAACGCGATCGGTTGCACTTGGGTTTAACGCGTTTTTTCAATGACCATCATTTGCTCTTTGGCGCGCTTGATCAGTGCTCCACCATTATCGAGTCGCCACAACACTCTAGCGAGCCAACCGAGCTCGCAGACATCGCCCCGATCCCATCGAGCCTCCTACAAGAAAGTGCTTGCAAGAAAGCAAGGGCTGCCTTGGAGTAACTCGCCAAAAAAGAGCTCGCGCTTGTCTGGCCGTGTGGAGCAGCAGTGCTGACGGCAGCTTGGCGCTCGACCCGATGAAGGCAGGCCCACGCGACCGTTCCCTGCAAAAGGGCGCAGAGAGACTACCGACGGTGCCGAGCGGCAGCGACACTAGGAGGTGAGGCCACACTCAAGCAGCAAGCGAAGGTCCATCTCGGTACCACCTCTGGAGGTGACCCACTGACTGCATACCAGAAGCATTCTCATATTTGCCAATGGCCGCTGCCGATGGCTCTAACGGTTGCACCAAGTACTACTAGAGCATCCGAACGGCAGCTTTGCTAGACCGAGGACGTCCCTATTTGGCCGGGTAGCTCCGTACTTGGCCCAAGGGTCCATTCTGCTAACTGGAGCTCACGTACCCTTGCTTGGCCGTACAAGAAGGTGCATTCAAATTGGTGGGTACCGCTTCCAGTCGCCTAGCGCTCTCTCCGGTACCTACACAAGCTGCAGGTTGAGCATAGTGACTGTCGATCCTCAAACCGTCGATCCTGTAGCAAAGCCACCATTCTAACCGGTTATATATGTAGCCGGTTGCGAAATCAACCGGTTTTGGACCAATCGCCGTCGTCACGCCGTCGTATTTCGTTCGTGTCAAGAAGACCAGTCGACGACCGACGATGCAGGACGACTACGGCGGCTCGTGGGAAGCGGCGCTGGCCTCTCGCTCCCGCGCGCCGAGCGTGTCGATGAACACGTTTGTGAACGACCAGATCCTCGTGTACACGGCGCGCATGTTGGCGGCGACGTCTGGCGGCAGAGTCTACAACTCGTCCGACGTGCATAGGACGCTCGTCGCGCCGTCGCCCAGCATCGATCTCAAGAAGGCCGCGAGCCGCATCGTCCACGCGCTCAAGCGCCACCCCGCGGTCGTGCCGGCTGGCGCGGTTGGCGGCCATTGGTGCTGCAAGGCCGCGCCCAAGGCCCGCAGTAGTACTACCTCCAGCGTCGCGAGCCAGCCCTTGTCCTCGGTCACGTCGGTCGTTGTCCAGAAATGCGTCGCGCAGTACGAAGAGCAGTTCAAGCCCGCGGTGCTGGATATCACGGGCGCGGGCGGCTACGTCAACGAGGACAGCATTCGGTCGCAGGTCCAAGCGATGGCGCCGCTTGCGCCGGCCGACGCGGTCGTCGACGCCATTCTCGTCGCGCTGGGCCGCGATCCGCGTCTCCAGCAGCAAGTGATTGCTGGCAAGGTCACAATCGTCGCGTCGCCGCGCGTGGAGGAGCCCGAGGAGCTTCCCGCCGACGCGGCCATGGCGGCGCAGTTGAGTGCACTTCTCTTGCCACAAGTACTCGCCAGCGTCCTCGACGACAAGCCGTTCTACGTCTCGAGGCTCCGAACCGTGCTCTCGCCGATGGCGTCGGGTGCGACCCACACCGATGCGCTCGTGGTGGCTGTCGTCAACGTTCTCCGGCGCGACGCGCGGCTCCAATACGTCGACTCGCTCCCTGGTACCGAGCCTTTCTTTACCAAGCCAATGGCATCGATCCCGGCGCCGCGACTGCCAATGGCTTCGACGCCGCCACGGGTCACTCCGGGAGGTACTTCTGCATCCATCGTTGCAAATTCGTTGCAGCTACCTCACGCAGCGACGGTAGCGCCCCGGTCTGCCACGCCCAATAATACGTCTGGCTTGACCGACGCCAACCTCGCAACCGCGATCGAGGCGTACGCGCAGGCGATGGAACGCTGGCTGCAGACCCACGACGAGGGATGCGGCCACGCCGTCGTCTACTCGTGGAAGCTCCAACTACCGTTTGTGCTGCCGCGCGCCGTGGTCAAGAGCCACGTCATGCCAGCCCTTGTACAAGATCCACGCTTTCGCCACCGCCCGAGCTTCCTCTCCAACGTGTGCTTTGGTCGGCGCAGCTCGTCGGGCGATGCGACCGCCAGTGTCCACAACATTGTCGACCAAGTGGCGCCCTATTACCTCACGGCGATGCTCTCGACGACGAAGAAGGGCAAGGCGTTCACAGAAGCCGACATTCTCGGACAGCTCCGTGTTCCGTCGCACGTGAGCACGAAGGCGGTCGTCGCGGGCATCGTCGATACGCTCAAGCTCCATCCGGACGTCACGAGCTCGGTTGTCGGCGGCCGCGTCTCGTTCCAGGCGCTGCGCCAGCCAAAAACCCCAGCTCCGTTGCCCGTGCCTCCTCCCACAACCAAGACAACACTTGGCAAAACTCCAAACCCAACCACGACGAGGACGGACATGGCCTTGGAGCCTTACGTCGCTGCGCACGCGTCCGAGTACGTCGATGCGATCCTCGAGTGGGTCGCCTCGGACAATGCGTTTTACACGTCGTACATTCGCGGGCAAGTGCGCCCGACGCTTCCGGACGACGTGGATTTGGACGCTGTCGTTGCTGCAATCGTGCAGTCGCTCCGCCGCCACCCGCAACTGACCTACTCGGACGCCGACCCGACGCGTCCGTGCTTTGTCCGCGCAGGCGGCACACCCCCAGCGATGCCATCGCCCAAGGCCAACGACACGTGGAAGAGCCCGTCGTCGGCCACGTCGTTCCGTACGACCTTTTTTCTGTGTGGAAAGGTTGGTCTGATGCAGCTCTTCGACTAGGAAGCCGATCCAGCTCTGGCGCAGAGTCGAGCAGCGATGAGAGCAGCGACGACGAGGACGATGAGGATGAGAGCGACGACATGGAGAAGAGTATCACCCCTCTCGAGAGCCATGA